ACTGGTGACAATTTTAACGAAGAATATCTAAAAATATTATTGATGGAATACGAGAATGGACGAAAAATGAAACTAACGGATAAAGAGTGGGATCTTTTATTACCTTATTGTTATCTGATAACATTTAATCAAATATTATTTACAATACCCACAGACGATAAAGATAATATAGAAGCAACGACCAAAATAACAGATATGTTAATCACGCTTTTATTACCAATAGAACAATTATCATTGCTGAGTCAAACAGACTTTATTACAAAAATTAAAAATTCCATTTCTAATGAATATAAAAAATAATATAAAGAGAAAGTGCCTATAAAAGCGAATGTACTTGTGCAGTTACGTTTTGAAGAAATAAATAATATATTTCAGGTTCATTTCTGTTTCTCATATTTTCATTGAGAATTTTATACATTGGATCGCAGTCACCATTTTTTTGAATCCAAACTTATATTTTGTCCCACGTACTGAGAGAAATAGAAAACAAAAATGAAAGTTAACCTGAGTTTAGAAGAAGAAAGACAATAAGAAGAGCCATCTTCTAGATCAGAGGGTTAAAGCAGAGAGAAAATTTCTCATAAAAGTTAATGCTTAAACATTAACATAGATTCATGAGTGAGACATCTTGAGCGCTCAAATAGTCTTTGTCGATAGCGCGCACAGATCGAATTTTAACGTGACAACAACTTTCATTATTTCTTATGACTTAGTCTTTCTTGAAACGGCTTTGACACAGCACATCCCGCTCAGCCATTCCCCTGCAGGCATGGGCGAGTCCGGACTGGAAGATTTTTTTGCGGACTCGGGCAAGGACTCGGACTGGAGATTTTTTTAAAGGACTCGGACTTGAGTTTTTGTATTTCGAGTCCGATCTATTCAACTTTCAACACAAATGAGCAGAGAAAAATGAAAAGCGAAATAATAACACCTTCTGTTTCACAAGAAATTGAAAATTTTGTTCAGGAAATAGACATGCAAAATAATCTTATTTTCGACAAATCAAATATCTATCCAGGGCTCGGTAAATTATAAAAGAGAAATAAACCACACCCCTCAAAGAAAGAATCTAAAAAATGACCGGACTCGAAATGGACTCAGGACTTGGACTCGGTTCTTAATGTCAAGGACTCGGACTTAGCTCGGACTCGCCCGTGCCTGCTCCCTTGTGTTTTTCAATTCAGTATGATTATTACACCAGGCAATAGATACATTCACGTGTGATGAATCGGCATAATCAGAAAGCCACAAGCGATCAGAATTAAGAACAAACATATTCATATTCATTCTTTCATGCATTCACTCATCACTCATGTACAAAACATTTTCAGCTACGAAACGCCTGTTGGCGGCATGCCAGTGCGACGTAGCTTTCTCAACGTCATATCATCTGCTCTGCTGATTCAAGTCACAGACCAGAGGCTGCATACGTTATAGGCGCTACAGTCGGTCGCACGTACAGCTGGGCATCACATGTGCCCTAAATAACGTAGTTTTCTCATGTTACATACTTGGTTGTATTAGTTGTAGTGCTTTAATAAATACCCAAAGCCACTAACTAATATCTCAGACACACGATTCGATAAGCATGAATAAAAAAATTACGCGTAAAACATTATTTTTTGGAATAAAATATACAAGTTTTTATACTTTTCTTGACTATCTCAAGAGTAATTTATGAAGTGATAGATGAAATTAGATTGTCGATTTCTAGACCAGAGGTCTTCTCAACTTATTTTTTTCGAATGTTGGACAAAAATGAGGACGCTTGTTTTAATGAAATAATGTCATCTCAATCTAAAATACCCGATAGGCTAAGCTAAAGTCACATATTTGCAAACGACTAAGGTTTTTTTTATATCACTTTTCTACTTGCGAGAACGTTCTCGAAAACATCAAACAGTCGATCGACTGTTCATTTTAATAACAAAATTAAAAGTTACACAAAACTGTGCATGACAACTAAGCGAATTATTGGCAGATGCATGTTTTTTTGAACATGTGAATATTTTCTACTAGAATGAACTTCTTTTAAAAGATCACCATTTGATAAAACATGTCTATGAAAATCTGTACAATTTATATTATTCATATTTATACTTTTTCTTTCAATCAGATTTTATCGACAAACTTATATCACACATATCTCATGAGTCAAGAGACGCGTGCGCGCGCGAGAAAGAGTGAGTTATTGTTGATGACTTGAATCTCAGAATAACTCTATGTACTACAAACTGTTCAAACACCCATATGATAATGATCTTTATGGCAAGATAAACTAAACAGGATGTAAATCTTTGCAGACTAGGTAATAATCCGTCAATCAATACTTTTTCTCTCAAATATGGCGCAGAGTATGACTTCAAAAAAATTACCAGTAGGGACAAACTATGCCAAAACGATCGAATGTTCCCATCAATGAGGGACATTTGAAAAACTTGTTCTAGAGGTCAAAAATCAGCAATACTTTCTGAGCTGAAACCAACCATTTGCAAATAATTTTCCTAGTGGTCAGTTGCAGGTTTTTAGGTAAATACTCATGTTCTACACGATCAGCATAATTAAATTTTGTCAGTTTCTACCAAATTAATAGAGAAATACGCGTGAAAGTACCGATATCATCATCAGCATATAATTCATTAACTTGTATCATTTTTTATCGAGACACGTTGCGTTCTAAAATGCGGACAATAAAATAATCTATTACACATGCTGCATTATAAATATCTTGCTTTACGGTCGGTTTCATATATTTCGATATTTGTCCTTAGCGACCTCTTAAGTTCACGAATATAGTTGGTTCACTCATTGGATGAACGTTTCGAATTGAAAAAAAAACAGAAAGAATTCTAATAAACGGAACTTCGAAATTATTATTAGAAGTCCATTGGTAAAAATTTCAGCTTGAAATAATCAATCGTTCAAATGCTATAGGTGACCCAAGGATCCTTGTACGATACATTTATCTGAAGTTCTTTGAAAGGTGTAAAAGTGAGTTTGTTCAAGATTAATCTTGACACGCAAATCAAAAACTTGGCTTGATTTTTAAATTTCCTCGTTGCTTTCTGACGTAGAGTTCAAGTTGAAAGTTCTAAAGAGACCACTGATTATACTATAATCATTATAGTAACGAAAAGAAGAATAAGGAAAGACCATTTACATTTTTTGACCAAGATTTTCGAGACTTTTTGGAAGATAACTATTTTTCTAATTAATGTAAGACTAAGACTAAGACTGTTTTATTCACAAGAAGTGAGAGTCGACAAAAGTCACTGACCTGTAATAAATGACTCAAGCCAAACAACACAAAAAGAGTAATAAAAAAGAACAAAATAAATATGACAACTAACGTTAGAACCAAAAGTAGTAAAAAAAGAACAAATATAAATTCTTAGATTTTTAACTGACAAATGTTTCACTGGAAGAGATACTGACATAAAGCTGTTTTGAAAGACGTTAAAGAAGAAAGACAAATAACTGACTCTGGGAGATTATTCCAGTCAGCAATAGTTGAATAAAAAAAAGAAGAATGCATCGTTTGCGTAGAACAACCATCAACAGAAGATGGAATGCGAACATATTTAGAATGATGAAGACGTAATGATGAGTAGTGAGGACGATGAAGAGTATAAAAAAGTTAAAAAATGTTAAGTTAATGTTACAACATTTGGTAGTTGCGAGCATTTGTGAAAATGAATGACACCAATGACAAAAACTCGCTAGAAGACATGGTGTATATTGCTGCATTTTAGGACTTGCAAGAAGATATGCGTAACTTTCTAATGCGAATTGATACTGACTTACGTCACATATTATGACTCATCAGATACCGTGGCCGTCAGATCGTTATTGCGAAACGAAAAGTCTGGTTCTACATAATGACTGAAAACTTCAACGTGTCAGATTCTAGGACCTTTGAAAAACGCTTTTCGAAACATTCAAAGAATTTTCTTACGGTGGAAAATGAAATAGTTTTTGGAAGTGCCCACTTCCGCTTACACGTTGATGTGCTTACCTCAAAAATCGATTTTTGACAGGCAGAGTCTTTATTTTTGGAACAACTGAGCGTTGCTAGATTATCTTCATTGAAATACAGCCAACATGAAGTAACTTTTATCTGAAGTCTTATTTAGATTGACTCTTGAGATAAGTTTCGTTCACAAAATTTTTATATGTTTGACGTGTAAGAGAGTATCCTAAAAGACTTATTCATGCTCGTTCAGTATAGATCCGATCTCACTATACGCTAAAGCAACTTTCTGTTTTTGTAATTACTATTTAGTTTTGTTTTTCAGAAAAGAAAAGCCGATATGTCAGACAATAATAGCGATCTCCTATCTACTTACAGACTTCAGGTATGTTCAGTTTTCTTTTCTTGTCTTACTAATTATTGTGTTTAAATTTATGAAGTTTACTGTTATAGCTTGAACAAGTAGAAAATACATTGAAGGAAACATCGAGTGACGAATTAATTCAACTAAGAGATGATCTAAGAGAAGCAATTTCGCTTTATAACAGTGAGTGAAGGAAGTAACTGGATATCTACAATTCTTTGAACTATTTTTTTCTCTATTATAGGCTATGAGCAAGTAGAAGAAATAATATTGTCTTCTGATTCAGATGACGATACCGAAGAGGAGGCAGAACAGAATAATATTGTGCGAGAAATTGTGGGTAATATTAAATGCTATAGATTCTGAATAAATGTATTTGATTACCAAGTATACACTCTGTTTTACAGGTACAAAATGCAGTGTAAAGTTTTCATGTAAAACGAGCGGACTAAGACGACATAATGCGGTTGTGCTTGGTATCGAATCAGTGGCTGAAAATTCAGTAAGATCAATAAATTGGATGTATAACAGACTGTTACATAAATTATTCTTATTAATATTATAGGTGCGTGTTTTATTTTGTCAACCCACGAGATTAGATCTAAAACCGTGTATACATTATTTGAATGACACGTGTCGATTTGGAGACAAGTGCAAGTAAGAAAAGCTACATTACTCAATTGATAATTTCATTCCTTGATCTTTATTTGTATATTAGATATTCTCATGGCTATGTTGTGGGTGTTAGCGATTTACTAGAATATGTTGAACCTGATTTCAGGTGTGTACTGGAATATTTATTCGTTACGATGATTGATCTGGCTATAAACGGTTTCTATTTAGCAATTTAGCTGTGGGTCAATGCTGTTTATGTAAGCATGGCGAAAATGATGTGTGGCAATCAGCTGTTATTGAATCAATTGAACACGATAACCACTTGTGTGTTGTTCGCTTTATTCATTTTAACGCTATTGAAGCAATTCCGTTTGAATCATTGATAACAACTGGTACGTGTATATCTTTTGCCAGACCACGTCAAAAGCTGAATTTTTATCTTTTTTAATTTAGGAGAAGTAGCTATCGATGAAGAAAGTAGTGAACAAACACATCAGCTGGATAACGATGACAACACTCACTCTGGCTATTCCACATCATCAACAACAAGGACAACTTTAGGGAAATTAGGCGATTGGGAGAAAAATACGAAAGTAAGTAAACTAAAGCTTGTTCATAATGGCCTTACACATTTTGTCTTTTATTTATTTATTTATATGCATATTTTCAGGGTATTGGATCAAAATTATTATTGAAAATGGGTTACAAAGTCGGGCAAGGACTTGGTAAACGAAATCAAGGACTAGTCAATCCGATTGATGCTCGAATACTACCAAAAGGTAAGCCTGCTCAAAATATTTGTATCTCAATAAGCGTTTGAAGAAATTTGATGCCGACGTTGAGAACGGTAGGAAACAATAACTCTCATAGTTTTGGCTCCATACGTGTTCTGACGTCATGCAAAGAACTTCAGTTATCCATAATAGAAACATGAGATTTTATGTGAAACTGACAAACTATTACTTTGCTCTGTCTTTTATATATATTAGGAAAATCACTAGATGCTGTTATTGCATTGCGTAAAAGTAACAAACTTCAAAGTGCATTTAAGACCAAAAAAATCACCACAAAAACAATACAAAAACAACAGAAAAGCGAAAAACTAAAGCATAAATTGGCTGAACAAGATGTTTTCACATTTCTTGATAAAGTATTTGTGACTCAAACAAGACATGGTATGATTGAATGAGTCCTGTGTGTGTGTGCGTAGAGGTGGGACAGTCCAAGTTCCTATAGTTCTTAAGAACTGGTCACCAGTGTTCAGTTCCTGTTGAACGAGGACTGGTTACCAGTTCCTTTCAAGAATTCAAAATAAAATAAAACCGATGTAGCTAGTTATATTGACTTGGTTTAGTCAACTAAACACACCATCTACCTCTGGTGCACTACACAAAGTCAATGTAACTAGGTTCACCGATTTTATTTCAATTTTAATTTTTTGAAAAGAACTAGTACCAGTTCCCGTTCAAAAGAACTGAACTGGAACTGTCGCACCCCTATGTGTGCATACAAATCGCCAAGAAAAATGAATAATATATTTTTTTAAGGATACGAAGATCCAACGCCATCACCTATTTTCAAAAATAAGCATAAAACAAGATCAGATGATGTATCCACCTCGCTCATCTTGAGTACACAAGTATGTATTTTAAATATGTATATAGCTTCATTGATGCAGTAATGTACAATTTTTTTTATTTAGGTTATAAGAAAACACGATGAAATTCGACAAACTGAAAAAGATATACGCCATTTAGAAGATAGAATAAAACGAAATGAACAAAGGTAGACTGTTTATACTCTTGTATGAGTAATTTGATGTGTATCTTCTGCTTTGTGATTTAGTGGTTCTCTGACGGTGGCTGCAAATCTGAAACAACATTTATCACAAAAGAAAGCAAACTATAGTAAATTGAAACACGTTGAAAGTGATTTATTGACAAAGCGTGACCAGATTCGTGCAAAACGAACAGACACTATATTTTAAAAATGGCGTTCTCTCATTGTAGTTTGTATACGTGTTTTTTATTTTATGTATATATCTATACACGCCAACCATTGTTCTTCTTTTTTATTGCTTTTTCTAAATTGGTACACATGATCGTTGTTGAAATTAATGAATATTTATCCTGTTTCTTATAAAGTTTCGAGTATTCTTGAACAAGATTTGCAATTTTGATAAAAAGTCCTATGGTGTATTTACAGATCGAAATGTGAAAGTTGGTACAATAATGTTAGCGGCGTGAAGGACGAACACAAGCCAATAAATGTGTTTGGGACACTATTTCGGTTAATAAATCTTTTCTGTTTTCAACGAGCTTGCTGGACCAGCGACCATAAATAGAATTCTTGTTGACAAAAAAGAAGGATTAGAGAATGATCAAAAGCAGCTGAATTGTATTAAAACTTACAATAATTTATATTGCAGGCATGAGGAGATTACATCACGAACAAACTGTTCGTTTTTTCAACTGCCTATATATTGCCTAGTTGCTGATGAATTGTGCTGTCGAAAAACCATTTTCAAGTTACAATTTTGCAAGAAGGAGATAGTTGTTTCATCAACAAGCTGTTCGTTAGTTCAATTCCCTATAGTACATTCAGTTGTTGACGACTTGTACTACCGAAAAAAGTTATCGATATTACAATTTATTAAATCGCACAAGAATTCTATTTATGGTCGCTGCTCCAGCAAGCTCGTTGAAAACAGAAAAGATTTATTAACCGCAATAGTGTTCCAAACACATTTACTGGCTTGTGTTCGTCCTTCACGCCGCTAACATTATTGTGAAGCGATGTATCGAGACAGAGTGAACCAGCGAAAGTCTTCTGCATTCATATGTAAATTTGCGATGTGAATACTTCGTGCAGCAAGCTATCCATTTGACCCTGGTGGATCGAAGAAGGGATGGGACATCCCTTCAAACAAACGGGGAAATATTGTAACAGAGAGCTGTTTTGTACAGAAAACAAAAAATGAACTGTGGTTCCTAAGCTATATAAAATAACGAAAAGGATCCATTCATTAGTTTTAAGAATAATTTAATATAAAAATTTCTTTTGCTTTTCTTAATAGCTCACTGTCTCGGTTTTGTCACAACTGCTTTACATTCGTTAAAGACTGGGAAAAGGGTGCCTTTTTAATTAACGCTATTTTAAGTAGCTAACTTGTGAGAAAATCGGGAAAATTTCTAGTGTATCGTTTTGCTTTTGTTGAAAAGAAAAAATCTTCGTAATGCGGTAAAATAGATTATTTGATTAGTTGAAATTTTTGATTAGTTATTTGATTAGTTTGATAAGATTGAAAACTTGTGTGTAATTTATATTTATAAACAGGAAGAATATAGTTTAGCTTTAAATTGTGTTAGATTGTGTAACTGATAATAAAAAATGACCATTTGTTCTGTTCTGTACATAGAAATGTATCCAATTTCTTTCATTCAGCAAAATCAGAGAAGGAAAAAGGAAAGAGAATGATATTGATATCTACGCGTACACTTATTTTTGACGGCTTCTCTAAGGTGTCGGCAGTAAAATCAATATTAATATGTGGATCATCATTAACTAGATCTTTAACAGCGTCAATATTTCTTCAGTAACGGCGGTTATTGGCGACCGCTACGTGGATCATATTCCAGCGACTCTCGCTCACTTGAAAAATCATGAAGCCAGAGGCCAACCGTACGATACGGTACATAATCTTCACCGTAAGCAGTGGTCAATTTGAGTAGCATTTAAACCCAATAACGAGCAAGTTTCCATGTAGTAGCGTAAACACTGTTTATCCATCTAAAAATGTAGATGAAAGAAAAGTAACGGAATATTGTAGTACATACCTGTTGTAGCTACCAGAAAAAGCTCACATCGAGATTAGAAACAATCAGCAAATGTGAGACTAGTGTTGCCTGAACTTTTTGGATGCCCAAGTATGTAGGGAGTTACCAGTTATATTTGGTCAAATATTGTCCGCTGGGTTGTCGGCTAATCTGTTATATAAGATATGGCTTGTTGTTATGTCCAAAGTTTAGTCAGCCGTATTGACAACAAATTATCACTCATGATAAATTATTTCATAAAAATTTGAACGTTACAGGCCAGAGCATACATAAATCGCTTCACAAAACTTTCGAGAATCTCTGTAACATAGCCAATCATTTTCACTCAGTCCTTCGTACGAAGCTAGGTATATCAAATATTTTTCAGATCTTACGTATTTCTTAATGCACCCGCTGCTCAGAAATAATGATACTTGCTCAAAAAAATCGATTTTGAGATAAGCACATGGAAAGATAGCGTAAAGTGTCTACTTTCAGACTTTTTATCGTTTTCTATCCTAGAAGTGATTTTTCGTGGCTTTCGAGCAAGTTTTCTAGGAGCCTCGAAAAACAGGATCTTCAAATAATAGCTCTTTCCTGGATACGTATGCAAGTAAATTTTTTTCTAAACACGTAGACTTGTAGAGCATCGCTTTTGATAAAGTAAGACATCGCACAACTCTTTATGGGCCTGCGTCAAAAAGTTACAAGCATTTTCCTACAAGTCCTAAAATGGACCAACCGATACACAGCGTTTTCTGTCAGAACATACTTTTTGTGCAGGCATGCTCAGTATACGGCACTGTTTTCAATAATGGTTCATCGTAGAGAGATTTTCCTTTTTTAATCGAAAGAGTGAAGAACTCTACGTGGGCTGATGGAAGCTGATTTTTCAATTAGACCTTAGTTGTTTAGAAAACCAAGGATATCTAGAAAACTCAAAAGGAGATCTGGGGATTTTAAGGTCGCTGGATCTCTATAAAACGAACGAAGGGTCAATTGAAAAATCAGCGTCGGTAATCAGCGTTCTTTTATTGCGACTGTATAGAGCATTCAATTATCTATCGAACAGTGTCTCAAACTCTCTTTCAAACATTATTTTGACGAAAAATTTGGCTAACTACAAAGCACTATTTTTACGTCTTCATAACTCGTTGTAAAAGATGTTGCAAACCTCACAGGGGCTCAAAACTTTGTATGAAATGTTGATAAAAATTACATTTTTAATGATGTTATGCAGAGTTTTTAACTAAAAACCTTTTAAAAAAAAATAAAGGGAAGTTCTTGTGTGAATGGTATGGGGTTGTCGATTGAAACCACTTCTGACAGTAGAGCTTCTACTAAATGAGAGACCAGAGGTTCGTGCCTGCTATGCAGCCTAAAAGTTACGTTCGACTGATGTGTTGAAAATTTAATTCAGTATCAATATCGTACAAATGTGAGTAAATCATAACGATAATATAAGTAAACTAATTGTAAAAATAAATGGGTCTATGCTGTTGCTTTAAACCCTCTAGTACCATAGACACACACTTCTCATATTAATGTTGAATAGATACCAACTACTTGCTTGAATTTGCGTATATAATTGCATAGATTACACGTACAAAAGAGATGTGAACGATAATAAGAAAAGGAATAATGTGTATGTTGTAGCTAAAACTGGAATACAGTCAGATCTCAGATTTGCCTAGCCAAAACTAAGATTCCACTTTTTGCTAGCCATAATCGAAATCCTAGTTTTGGCTACATTCTGTTTCTAAATAATCACTTTGTTGAGGAAAGAATCAAGGGAACAGTGTAAAGATTAGTGTGATTACTTTACGACTGGAAATACCGTTTATTTTCTTCGGTTATTCTCGTATTCTGGGTATACTATATACCTTATTCACATTATATCATACTCTGCTCGACAGTTGTGCGTGTGTACGTCCATATGTATGACAGTATATATAGTCTCTACTTTTGCCAATTTGTGGAAACACTTCAAATTAATAATATCGTCTCCTTCGCCTATTACACAACCTTCTTCTTCCATTTCAGCTACAACTTTTTCTTCTGCTTGTACTTCCACTTTACCGTCAGATACACATGAAAATAAATTTTATGATGAAATAGAAAAAAAATGCTAATTCGTTACAACAGAAATATCGAGATAAAACTTTCAAAAACAAACAAACATGTGATGACATTTTGAAAGTTTTGTTACTTTCAAAAGGTAAGACTGGAGATTCTTCATCAGTTAAATTTAGATTTTGGTGTAAGCAAAAATTTACTATTATGAAACTTGTGGATTGATGTCTATTGCACAAAAAGTAAAAACTGATTTGTGTTTATAAATCATTGTTAATATCATAAAAAATGCCATGAAGCTGTCTCACATGGAGGAAGAGATAAAACTTTGACAGAAGTAAACTCACAGTATTCATCGGTACCAAAGATTGTTGTTGAAATATATCTAAAAACTTGTGTTGCATGTCAAGTACGAAAATCATTGAAAAATCCAGTCGTATCTAGAATCTTGGCAAGTTTGCAAATTGACTTAATAGGTATGCATACAAGACCCGATGTTGTAAGTAGTGATATTGTTTATTCTTGGATTCTTCATTGCATCGATCATTTTTGGAAATTTACCTTTGCTTATCCACTGAAAAATAAATCAGCTGTTGAGGTTGCATCGAAACTTCGTGAATTGCTTTTTAGTTTTAGTCCACCACATTTATTATACTTGGATAATGGTGCAGAATTTGTTGCTCAAGTGATTGTTGAACTCAAAACACTTTCCAGAAATGTGTTTTACTCGAGGAAGACCACGACATCCACAATCACAAGGTTGTATAGAACGTGCTAATGGTGTTTTAAGTATTACCTTAGGAAAATGGCTTGATATAAATCATTCAACTCATTGGTCAGATGGTCTTCTCTCAGTTGTTTACGTTATAAATACTAGAGTTTCATCAACAACAAAAACAACACCTTATGAAACAATGTCTGGGACAAAAACCACGCTCAAATTTTGGTTTTTGGAAAATCGTTATACAACGAGGTTGCTTCAGTCAAACAGTTTTCCTTGGACAAGACATGAAAAAGGTAAAAATAATTTTTGACTTTTCGCTTATTCCGAGTGAATGAATTCGGGTTTTCATCATCCAAAAGAAGCGCCTTTGAGGCATCTTTTTATAACCGACTTTAGCTCAAAACTTTTTTCAAAGTAGGTTTTCGAGGAGATCTTTTGGAAAATCAGCTCATAACTTAAGAACTTCAAGTACGAACATTTTCATTTTTCCTCATAAATAGATAGCCCAAAGTGCCCTGTTCAAAACGGAAGCCACGCGAGACCTTGATTTTCAGTGGTTCGGGCGTGGCATCAGACTTTCTTGGAGCCCTAGTACGGGTATTCGGTAAATTTAGGTAGTTCTGAAATCGCATAGAACTCACGTAATCGAACACGCTAAATCTAATGACAGTTTATTTTTGGAAAAGACTCCAACAACCAGGCCAAAATTGAGTTTTATGAAAGTTGAAGTTTCCATCCTGTTTTAACCTAATATTAAAAAGTTAATAACTCAGTCAAAAAGTATGAGAAGGGGTTGAAAACATCAAGATTTATGGTATTTAGGCTGTTCTGTATCCTACTTAAAAGAAACCTGCAAAAACAATACTCAAGATCCTTCTGGAAGGTTTTCAGAAAACTTTTGATCAATAACATGATTTAAAAAGGTTTTTCGATCGTATAATCCTATAAAATGGGCAATTAATCACACATCTTACTTAGAATTAAATGCTCTTACAAATGAAATATGTGGCGATCTTTGCGGCAAACCTCCATGTAAAGTGTGGGACAGTTCCGAAAGAATTACCCACAAACACATATTGTGGATAGTCTCCTAGCGAACGCTGACCGAAGAGAGGTGTTAGCGTTGTCTTGGATTCAAAGTCAGCGAAGGATTCAAACTCGAGACGACCCTTTACAGTGAAGGGAATGAGTAAATGTACTTTTGATTACCAAATTTTCCAGCATCACATTTTTATTTTTCAACAGAGTGTAATGTACATATAAACATATTAATTAAATTTTAACAAAGACAATATTTTCACAGTTTTATTTACATTTATTTACAAATTTAAAGCTTTGCTAACTTTCTTGGGGCGTCCTTTTGCTTTTCGTTTGCCCAATGGTTGAATACGTGTAGTCAAATTTCTTCATCTCTTCTTTGTTCATAATAGCTGTTGCTAAATCACATGGTGTATGTCAATGTCGAATAAATAATCTTAAGGATCATACAAAATACTCGTTTAAATGTTCTCAATATCGTAAATATCCATTATGTGGTTATGGATGGGGGAAAGAGATGTCGCAAACTCACGAATCATTCGATTTGTTAGTAACGCACTGATGATGAGGGATAAATGGGATTTCGAGAGAGGATTTCAAAGCCTACAAAGCTGTCTCACTCTTGTTCAACCAGTTCATTTATCAAGAATAATAATTAACAGAGAAAGAGCAAGAAAAGTGTGAATTTTTCTACTTGTAAATGTTACTCATGTTCATTGACTTGCAATTTTAAGTCGAAGAAGAGGGTATATGGGGTAAGTGAAACAGTCTATGTTGTAGAGCATTTTCGGCGCTTTCAGAATCTGTATTCACTTGGCTGACGAGATTTTATCTTAGCTGTGATATTTTCAAAGCGCGTAGTAGAAAGACGAAAAAAAAGTTGATCGCTCTGGAATAGGTTCGAGAGGCTCTCTGTCTACTCTTGTATTCCGTTCAAACTAGAAGCTGTGTAAGACCGAAACGCACTGCTCGATAGAGAATTGAATGGGCTATCCAATGGTATATCTGGTTGCCCCTTGATGCTGAGTTTTGGTGGAAAAGATCTGAAATACACTTGCAAACTTTCCAGGAGTATAGATCAATATCATTCTCTTTTCCTTTCTTTTTCTCTTATTTTTGCAGAAAGAGACAATGCGGTGGTTGTGCGAACAGGTACGGTTTTTTTTCAAGTGGAGTAAAATCCATATAACTCCGTTATTTCTTGACAAAATCGAAAGTTATTAAAATGCGAAGCTCTCCATCATCACGACAATCGATCTCTAAAAATTTTTTTGAAAAAGCTTCTTTCGTTTATGTGTTCTAAACGTTTTATTACAGACACGTTCACTGTGTTCGAATTAGGGGACTTTTCCTATTGCGAACGTTCCTTTTCTTTTTATTCCCTAATGCGAACAATCCCATTCAAATACACGTGTTTTTTTACCACAACGGGAAAAACACTGCTTCAAGTGAAAAAAAGTCAAAATCGCCACAACATACTGCTGGCAAAAATATTCTCTGAATTCTTAGACATCTACTGATTTAATAATAGACCTCTAGTATTCAGATAGAGATATAGATATAACTCTATTGACATTTGCTTCACATTTGTCGTATTCCGTCTGCTAAGAAGAAAAGAGAACGAAAACAGCAGCACGGAAAATAATTTGTGTAATCAATCGCTCATAACTCACTCATCTTTTGACCAAATTAAATAATTTTTGAGCATCAGATCCGCAAAACATTTCTCTACTCACCAATGTAAAAAGTACAAAATTTCCACAATGGAACCCTGCAAAGGACTCGATTAAAGTTAGTATGTTTATTTTCCCGTGCAAACATCATGCATGTTACCTTTAATCGAGTCCTTTGCAGGGTTCCATTGTGGAAATTTTGTACTTTTTACATTGGTGAGTAGAGAAATGTTTTGCGGATCTGATGCTCAAAAATTATTTAATTTGGTCAAAAGATGAGTGAGTTATGAGCGATTGATTACACAAATTATTTTCCGTGCTGCTGTTTTCGTTCTCTTTTCTTCTTAGCAGACGGAATACGACAAAAAGTTGCAGTTTTGCATGCATTTTTGAAGTTTTCCCTTCAAAGCGTACCATCAAACTCAGTTTTTAGCGTAGCCTCAAAATCAGTTTCATACGCTTTTCTCTCTTGTCCTGTACATTCAAACTTTTTTTTACACATAGTTCGATAGAAGAAAGCGTTTTCTTCACAATGAGACGTCTCCCAGGATTTTCTGATGAGTTTTCGTGGATATAAGCATCGCAGCAAATACCCTCCAAAAAAGTGGCCTGTGTACAAAATGCGTTTTTCTCGAAAACTATTTTTTTGCTACGAGGCTTCATTGTGCCACAGTACGGCCCCCATTAAATTTCATGCGATCGAGTTCAAAATTTTACCAGAGGTACTCAAGACACCATTGCAGATGTCTTTGTGAGGTAAAGTTTTTATTTCACAGCATTTCTACGGAATGCCTAACGAGAGGGGGGACACCCTTAAGTAAGACAATTCACAAGCCAGGTTTAAGAAGGAGCTAGACGGTTCAACAAAATAGATTTTTAACGGTGACTTCAACGAAAGAATTTTTCTCGTAACGTTTCTAGTAATACCAATGTCATATTTGTAATCAGGAGATGAAGAATAGAATGACGTCCCTCTCGAACGTTAGATTGTTAAGGCCGCCTCAATCAGAATTCATCAAAATTATGTCAGTCTATCAAGATGTAGTCTGTTTTACCTGCTCAATGCTGTGCAGTTCAATAAAAGCTATAGAAATCAACAGAAAAACCTTTGGGTTTTGAAAACGTTTTCTAGAAAGCTTTCGAACTGAGGAGGATATTTTTTACTACTCTTAATAAAAAACTACATTGAGCAGGTAAAATAGAAGTACATTTGATAGATTTTCAAGCACTACAAAACCCTGTATTTGCTCTTCCAGAAGGTTATCAAATATCAATCATTTTAACCCATTTTTAGATATATTGGATCTCTAAGGGATTTATTGCATTGTGCCCACAAGCCTCTGAAACTCGCAGCATAGATAAATCACTTTTTCCCATGGAATAGATACTCCATAGTATTCCTACAGAACCGGTGCCATGCGAGAGCTTGTTTTACAGTAATTCACCTGTTTTATAGAGCTTCTATCCAGCGTCCGGATTGGTACCCAGTGACTTCCGATGGCATGTAACATACGTAGCCGACCGCGCTGAATCTCGTGGCAATGCTCATTTTTAGAGTGAAATTCCAAAACAACTACGAGTTTCAGAGTCCTAACTCGGTTTTTCAGAGGTCCTCTGATGAAAACCTATTTTTGACAATACAACGTTCATAATTCCGCATGGAGAACTTTGTTTGTCACTAAAATTTCAGGTTGTGTAGTAAGCAACCGAGAGAAAACTGTAAAAGGTTTTTGTCAAAATTATAATAAAATATCATACAATTATAAATATATGAGAATTTTAAGAAAAAAAAACCTTGTTAGCCTAGACCTACCTGTGTTAATGTAAATTCCTCGAACTTTTAAATAATGAATTTAGGGTAATTGTATGTGATTATGTATTCAGCTCTTGGTAAAACAGCTAAAACGAAGTGGGTACTCACCTTTCCAACGGGTAGGAAAACTTTTCGAATGAGACTTTCCTAACTTTCATTGAGATCTGTTTCTGATTTATTTTTCTTGTTTTTTGTAGACAAGCATAGAATTATTACCGGTGGTATTGTCATCTTCTTCTGAAGAAGGAGAAGCCAGTCAGCTGGCGTTAAGGGATTAAACGTTAATCTTATACAACAAAACATCAATAATCTTGAAAGAGCTATTTTATTACCGAATAATGAATGGGATTATAATGTGGCATTCAGTCAATCGATATTTGATGGATCATATATGCTAACCTCAGAGAAAAATATAGACGAAACGTTAAAACAAAAGTTATGTAAAGTAGCACCACTGGTGGTACGAATCCATTTAACGTTTCCAGTTGCAAATATATATGATTTGTATGCTAAAGGAAAGAGAAAAGATAATATAACATGTTCTAATTTTTCTGTTTTTAGAGCTTTAACCACCAAAGGCAATGGGATATTAATCGATCAAAATCACATATTAACCTGTGCACATTTATTCGATCCAATTTCTTATGAAAACGAAAAGTGTCTGTGTATAGACGTGGTAAAATTTTGCGTGTGTATTAAAACCGACCACAACATGTTTTTTCACAGTAGCCATGTTTATGAGGCACGTTTAGTGCAGAGAGGATCTGATAATCTCTCATCCGAGCAGGATGCTACAGATGATGATCTAGCGTTGTTGGAAATAATTTCAACAGATAATTGTTTAAGAAATTGGTTATCGAAAATAACGTTTATACCATTATCAATGTCATTAAATTTCGCAAAAAGTGATTTTATACCTGAAAAGTTATATTTAGTTTCTTATTGTGGGGAATTAGATAATAAATCAATAGAAACATACAAAAGTTATTATGGAGATGATTTAACGAAACGTGATCTGTTAAAATATAAATTAAATAATCATTATAATGTGAATATGGAATCTTTATCGATTGGAACTATTGTAGGAGAAACCGATACTCATTTTATTCATGGATGTACGTCTTTGAAAGGTTCTAGTGGTGGAACATTGATTAATGGACATGGCGATATGGTTGGCATACATGTTGTCACAGAAAATTCTTTCAATCATGGTCTTAAACTGTGGTCAAGGCATTTCACGCGATTTATAAAGAATATTATACTTCATATTTCTGATAATGAACGACGACACTGGAACGATTTTATTGAACGCTATCAACAAGTATGTTCGTTTTTCGTTTTGCTAAAAAATGAAGACGTCGTTAACATCTCATTGCTATCCTAAAATTTTTATACGAATGTGTGTTTCTTTAGACGTTTCTACTACAACAAACAACTACTGTAGTTGCAAATTTTTCGAATATCGGGGATTGCAGTGCTAAAACAAGAGATCAGAAACAAAAATTGTTACCAAACAAAGATCTACAGAAACTGTGATTCATGGATTGTTGATGGTATGACTTTCTAACTTTTGGATTTTATATCAAATATCGGTTGGATTAATATTTTCGGAATGAAGTTCGTTTACTTGCCTAGTAGTTCATCCTTGCTGACGATATTTCACGAACGATGAGTAACAGAGCTTCGACTAGCAGTCTTGACTAGTTACGAAATTAACGCAAATTTGGAATGTCTTAAAGCATAGTGCATAAAACTTCGTGGTAGCCAAAAAAAAGGAGGTTCACATATGTGAATACGACTGTTCATTCGAAGTTGCTTTCTCTTTTTTTCATAGATTTCATTCCTGTATTTACTCTTCGTTAGATCGTTTATGTATATACAGAAGAATGTTTCAATTTCTTAATGAAAGTGTGCAGTTAAATTTGATTACTTGTTTTTTAATTTGTTGTTACTTATTCATGTGAAGTTATTGTTAAATTTGTTTTATTTTTTTATTTTTCTTATAAACTTTTTATTTTTCTAATTGTTATTTGTACAATAGCAGAACTTTCTGACGAAAAAAACCTCACTTTTACAAAGATTTAAAATATATGAATTGTGATGAAAATCATATTTTGCAAACCTACCATAACTGAACCGTGTGTAAATAATGTACTATTATCTAAAAGAATAAATGTCTTACAGTGCCTGTTTCAGTGTTTTCTGATTACTTTTCTTTAACGACGAATGTTCTTTGTACGTGTTAAGTACCTACCTTTAAATATCGACCGGATGAATTTGAATATCGAATATCGGATAAAATTGTTTTTCTATTCTCATTTACGAACTTCAGAACTAACCTTAGTTATTTTACGTGAGCAAATATGATATTTGTGTTTAAAATTGAGTAACAAGTGTCGGACACAGTAAATTCGGTGAATGACATCGATCTTGCTTGTTGATAGACCC